CATCAGATTACCATCTTTTTCATTCGCTGCAATACCATCTTTATGGGAAAACGTATGTAAATGTGGGAGGTGTTAACAACGACATGTTTTTTGCTTCAAAGCCAATTGATTTCTTTAATCAGGGCATTAATAACCTGATTGTAAGATGAAAAAAGCATCATTGATAAGAACGTAGACTTTCATTGATTAAATGTTTTGATATACAAGTTGTTCGGGTTTTTTCATCTAAAAAAATGCGACATTAATTTCTTGACGACCTAACATTTAATTTTGGACTATCAGTTGTAATTTTTGTGGCTTAATGTGGCTTAAGCATTTTAGAGGTTTTGATGAAAAAAAAAATTAAATGTTCCAACACTAAACACTGGTTTGTTTATCATACACACCCACCCACACACAGGGAAACATGTTTTAAAACTATTTTGAATTGTATGATTTATCCTAGAATTCAGCTTAAAATTGTTTGAGTCATTAAAAGAAAGTTCCTAAAATGTTGCATTCATAAAGATTTGCACATCCAATGTGTAACTGTGGTTATGAAAGCTCAAGTCATTAAGTTAAGGATTAAGGAGTATGTGCAAAAATCACCATATAAATCAAATAACTTTTGTTCATTGTGCTTCAAAAGACTTTCTACTGTCCAAGACTTCAATATTCTGTGAAGCATTACAAGTAAAACAAGAGAAAATAGTTTAATCAACTTCTTTTTTTTTTTACTGAGCTTGACTTGCTAGTGATCTTCCATACTATTTTTTTGTACCAAAATTGACAATTAGCTTATGAGAAAAATGTAGGCATATAAAAAGCTTTCTTCCAACTGGAATGTTAATTTATACTATAAGTTACAGGTGGAAGAGTTACTATGTGTTAATTACCAAAAATAAACAGTATTGTTCCCTAATTTAACTAATGAGTTAAAGCCAAATTCAGTACAAATTATGTGAGAGCACAAGAAATCTAAGCTTCCTCAAGTGGTTCTTCTTCATCAAACTCTCCCTCATCATCAGCAGTGGCCTCTTGGTACTGTTGATACTCCGACACCAGATCATTCATGTTAGATTCTGCTTCAGTAAACTCCATTTCATCCATGCCTTCACCAGTGTACCAATGTAAGAAAGCCTTTCGCCGGAACATAGCTAAGTGATTTGGAAAATAATAAGTTATTATGTAAACTAGTCATCATCTTAACTACAGGTTTAATTATTTAGTGTTATGCAAATTGAAATATAAAAATACATGTACATATGCAAGTCATTTGGTAAATATCATCATATCCTTAAAAATCTGCAGACATAAGACAAAGTTAAAATACAAGTATACCTATGAGTAAAGCTATGCATTAGGGAAATTAACACCAAAAGTTAGTTTAATTCATAATTAAATAGTATTAGGCTTATCATATTTCTCTATATTACAACACTACCTCCTCCTCTAAAGAGAACAGTATAATAGCATAACAGATATAATCCATCATCATCAAAAGGCATTCACATCATAAAAGTTAAAATTACCTGTAAACTGTTCTGAAATTCTCTTAAAGATCTCCTGGATGGCAGTGCTATTTCCAATGAATGTGGCACTCATTTTCAAACCACGAGGAGGAATGTCACAGACAGCTGTCTTTACATTATTGGGGATCCATTCCACAAAGTAACTGCTGTTCTTGTTCTGAACGTTCAACATCTGTTCATCAACTTCCTTCATGCTCATACGCCCTCGGAAGATTGTGGCCACCGTTAAGTAGCGACCATGACGAGGATCACAGGCAGCCATCATGTTCTTAGCATCAAACATCTGTTGTGTCAACTCTGGAACTGTGAGTGCTCTATACTGCTGGCTTCCTCTGGAAGTTAGTGGAGCAAATCCTGGCATGAAGAAATGAAGACGAGGGAAAGGAACCATATTGACAGCAAGTTTTCTGAGATCTGCATTCAGTTGGCCAGGGAACCTCAAACAGGTAGTGACTCCAGACATTGTGACAGAGACAAGATGATTAAGGTCACCATAGGTTGGAGTGGTTAATTTTAAGGTACGGAAACAAATGTCATACAAAGCTTCATTATCAATGCAATAAGTTTCATCAGTATTTTCTACAAGTTGGTGAACAGAGAGTGTAGCATTGTAGGGCTCTACAACTGTGTCAGACACCTAGAATTATGGAAAAAAAACAACATTGTATTTGTTAAATATTTGTCATTGTTTTATTAACTTCAAATGTTCCCTTTTAGTTGAACAAACAAATCCAAATTATTACACAAAGTTTGTTGAAAGATAGTTATTATAAAAAATAAGTCACCTTTGGAGATGGCAGAACACTGAAAGTGTTCATGATTCTGTCAGGATATTCTTCTCGTATCTTTGAAATCAAAAGGGTTCCCATTCCAGATCCAGTTCCTCCACCTAGTGAATGAGCCAGCTGGAAGCCCTGTAAACAGTCACAGCTTTCAGATTCTTTCCTGACGACATCTAACACTGTGTCGACTAATTCAGCACCTTCTGTATAGTGTCCTTTAGCCCAGTTGTTTCCTGCTCCACTCTGACCTGAGGATGAGATGCAATTATATATTTTATATAAATTAATAAAAATGAAGCATTGACATTGAGATCACTTTCACCAAACAAAAGTGTAATTTGCATAAACTACAGTTTAAATAAAAAGTAACAGTAAGCTCATTTTACAAAGCTTGTGCCAATGAATGTTAAATGCTATGGATGAATTTGAGAAGAAAATTCACATAACATGCCTCAGAATTTTGAGCTAAGGACCGAAAGTAGTTTAGTTAGCAGTGTGAATTTATACATATGAATATGAACACAGACACCTACAAAAAAAGCACTAGTTCTTCATTATTACTTATGCATAATCGTCTTACAAATCAAAATGTTACTTTGCTCTTACCAAATATGAAGTTGTCAGGCCTAAACAGTTGACCAAAAGGACCAGAGCGTACTGAATCCATTGTACCTGGTTCCAAGTCCAGAAGGATTGCACGTGGAACATACTTTCCTCCTAAAAGATAGTTATTGCAACAAGTTAGAACAAAGTACTTTCAAACCCAGAAACTTTCAAACTGAGGAGAAATTTACCTTCAGTTATATACATGGGCAGATTAATTTTTAGTATAATTTTACCCCTATTTATTTTGAAATATTTAATTAAACATTGGTTTTAGTTTGCTGATTGCCAGTCTTATTCTTATTGTTGTAAGATATTTTTATTTCATTGACAGTTCCATCATATTCCTTATCTAGATGTTTGTAGATAATCTGATGAATTAACAGTATTATTCAGAATGTACTATGCTTTTAAACAGTGCTTTAAATGACAGAGCAGGTTAGGTATACTCCTATAATCTCGTACACATCGATAAACATTGTAGGTGCACTTAACTATTATAGTCTTTTGAAAACATAAATTTTCAATACTAATTTTACGACTATACACACTAAAATGTATGGATAGTTCGAGATTTTTTTTTTTTGTTAAAGCAAAATCAAAGAAAACTAAGAAGAAGAAGAAAGATCTAGTGACGTGAATGAGCATCTGAAGTACTTAACCTTCCTTTATACAAACAAGCGAATTAGCATACCGAAAACATAGTATAAAGTACCTCATTTATAATTTACTTTAAATGTGAAACTGATGTTTAGATTTCATAAGAAATAAATTTAGTTATATAGTGATAACTGTCTCATTGGGCCTGCGTTTTACTTGTGAGCAAATGTTCGAAAGTAGTTATCATGAGCGAATGTACGTATATTGAGTTTTCATGCGTTCTTCCAGAAATGTTCAGACACCCTACGAATCATGGGAAAGTAACTTTATCGTTGCAATGTTATTAATAATATATCTAAATAATAATAAATAGACAAATTAAAAAGCTTCTGAACAAGAACGTTAAAAATTTATCTTGCTTTGGTGGTGCTCCCATTCCCACTTCATATTTTATTGTTTAGAAAAATTTACACTTGCTTAATGACCTTAATTTTGGCTGAAAACCATCGTGTTTTACTCACACATTCCTATTAAAGTACAATGGTCTAGTTATCAGCCGTTAAAAATAGTAAAATTCGTTTACACTAGTACTAGTGTCAAGTCAAATACTCATCACAAAATACAAGATCTCTCTCTCCTAAATAAACTGCTCCTTCAGATATAAAAACATTTAAATATTCACCGACAAATATTTAAAAGAAACTTTACATAAGAATACTCTACTTAAATACAACAGCTAATGCAGTTTTCTATCAAGCCTAATTTATTTAAATACCTGATGCTTCATTATAGTATACGTTGATCCTTTCCAACTGTAAATCTGTGTCCCCATGATAAGTACCAGTTGGGTCGATACCATGCTCGTCAGATATCACTTCCCAAAACTGAATTGAAACAAAAGGTGAGATTAAAGTGATTATTCACGAAATATAAACATTCACACTAATCGATAATATACCTTTAACTCTCTAAAAACGTTATGCTAAATAGATCCTGTGTTCATTTACTTAATGTTGTTGTGGTTAACACAGTGGCATTACTACAACAGATCGCCTCCACCACACACATTAATTTTTCTGTACTGAGACTGTATTTGTAATTACACTTCTGGCTGATTGATATCATTAAGTTTTAACAGAACATTGCTACCGTTCTTCAGTTCAAGTTGAATTAAATGTTTCTTCCCTTTCTGGCCTCCTGGAGTTTAGGGGAATACGCCACTGGCTTAACAGCTAGTGTAACTAGATGTGCTAGGTTATTGCATTTCCCGGTAACACTCGGCCCTGGCCGAGTGTCGAAGTTTAAAACAGCCGAATGCGGGCAATTGAGAATGGTATATAATCATACGCGGTACCGAAAGTTAGTCAACAATTGGTTTAGTTTACATATAACGTGTTCTGAACAAAAAAGGCTAACTGCCCGCTCAAAGTCGGTGATTCAGAGACTATAGGGGTTAGGGTTTAAGAAGTTGAGGCTAGGCATTCTGTTAGCGATTCTTCGGTTAAGTGTAGTAAACGTCAATTTTGTTTTTCTTTCTAATTTCTGTGTATATTGTTTATTTTATTTGGGGGGGGGGGCGAGGGAAGAGCCCGGTCTCGTTTGAGACCCAGCTTCAGCCGAAGTTTAGTGACCGGGTAACCGGACCCGGTATTCGGCTAAATTTTACTACCCGTGCATCCCTAGTTGTAACATAAGAGTAAGATTCATAAAGACATTCAGCTAAAGCAGTTTAAACTTTTAAGAAAAACATGGAGCTTAGAAGTCAAAGCGTAAAATAAAAATTTGTTGTAGAAAATATTTTAGGAGTAAACTTACACGTTCTCTCTAACATAGATCTGTCAAGAAAATTACTTTATACGTCTCAGTAAATACATCACATTTCTAAAATTAAAACAAGCCAAGGAAACTTACTAATTACAAAACAAACAAACATTTATTTAGGAAAGAAGGAGACAGTACTTATTCATTTTCTCTATTTTAATTACACAAAACATTTAATTACCAGATTCTGAAATCATTTACTTTTAAAACACAATTTCTATTTAGTTACGAAACTAGAGCCAGATACGTATGAAACTACTATAAATAACAGACAAAATACCAAGCTACACCCTGATGACCTTGAGACGAGCGGACACGAAGCATGTACTCGCTCTTAAGGGTTGCTGAACTTTAAGATGTGCATCCAACCAGAGCAGTTTTTTAGCACGACCTCAAGATAATTCGACAGATGGGGTAAGTCTTCTTAATACTAAAAAACTGATATCTAGTTTGTACAATTTAGAGCAAAAAGTGTTTCAATATATAGACAAAGAAAATGCAATTATCGAAGTAATTTTTAAGGTTTAGCGTATATATATACCAAAAGGTATAGTATTTCAAATAATATCAATAGGGCTATTCATAAGCTCTACCTGCTTCATGTTGTTACACATAAAAGTTCAAAATCACAGAGGGTTGTAATACTAATGAGTATCGAAACATGTATCGTAGATTTTTTTTTTGCTTATGACAAGTTACGTTAATATCCATCTACCCTTGACAATGCATATTTTGATACATTACCCTTCATATGATTTATCCAAATTATTTTAGTATCAATTATACAATCACGGTGTTGTCTCATGCAGATTTTATAACTCAACTTCCAGACACAGTTCCTTTAGAAACGCAGTGAAGCAATTTCTTAAGTTATAGAAGAGCACAAACTGATGTGAAAAAGCAAAATATAACTGAACCCAAAATACTTTTATTTATTTTTACATACGATATAGCCAAATTTCTTGCTAAACGTAGAAAATTAATGCCTGTGCTAGCGAATGTGTTTACGGCTAATCATTATTAACACCGTGCTTACTAACTTTACGAAAATTCTTGATTAACAAACAAAAACGAAATGAGCAGCAACCGCATAGTTCCGAGTGATACTTCGGGTGGGGTGTCTTGTGAGAACATCTTCAAAAGTAGCTTAGACAGAAAAGGCGATGTCTGCAGTACAAGCGTCACTCCGAATGACACACTTGCTGCCCATTTCACCTTTTTCATCATGAACACTACCTAAAAGCCTAAATCAATTACAAAAATTTATTCTGGTAGAGAGGAATTAATGTCTTTAATGATCAAAATAACATATACAAAATTAGAAATTACCTTCGCTCCGATTTGGTTACCACACTGACCAGCTTGGACATGAACAATTTCCCTCATTGCGGTTTCTTTTGCTTAATGACCTCTTCTTGCTGCAAAACTTGACGTTAATGGGAAACTTTAACTCGTAGTTGCTTAAAATGACTGAGCATTGTTAGTGCGCATGCGAATTACAACATCATAGAACCAGCTGATTGGTCTCTGTGCTAGCGTTCACAGCCCTGTGATTGGAACATATGTTGTTTTTTTGGAACACTAGTCATGAATGTTACGAAGTTGTTTTGTGTTTAGATTCATGGGTGTGTTCGAAAATAGTTTGTTTCGGTTGTATAATTTCGAGTTATTCAAAAGTTAAAGGACGGTTTGATGTTGTTCTAATCCTCAAATAAACTATATTGTTATTTGATAACTATAGACAATGACATTTAAAGACAACAAACAACTTAGAGTTACTAACTGATCACATGAACTAGGTAGATGCACGAGCAAATTTGTCATAGCGTTGTTCAAAGTAGAACTATACGCAACAATGCATAGTCATTCATCTAGAACCACATATACAGACAGAACTCATAAAGCTTGTATGTTTTGGGCTCGAAAATGGAGGTTTTATTTTCTTTTAACAGCGGGTTAAGACTGTATGTGCATCTTAAAACATTATGATTATTTCTGAGAGTCAAATTAAAGGCAAGATACCGTCATACAAAAATACCCGTCATTCTTTCCTATGGTTCAATAAAACCTTCGTAAACTGCGGTGTTGTTTTCTTGCTGTTTAAGATACATAGATATTAAGAACATCCGAGTGTATAACAAATTATCAACTACACCGTATCCGCAGATCCAGTGCCGACGAGGCCTTTCGCCTAGTCAAATACCAGAACTCTTGGTTGCGACGTAACGAATTTGGTATTATCAAATTGCTTAAATAATAACTGTTTTTTAGTGAAAACAAGGTTAAGTTGGAAAAAATAAATTCTTTAGTCTTGTTGGCTGTCAAACAATGTTTAAATTTTTTCTACAGGAAAACATGATTCGGCGGCTTTGTATATTAAAAAACAACAACAGAGTCCCTTGAAAAAAAATGTTTTTAGATATGTTGCTTAATTTTACGTCTGGTTTGCAAATTTCGTAAAAGACAGATATTGTCATCAAAATCCACGTGCTCTAACTCCATACACTAGAGTTAAATTCGTCCATTTGAAAATTACTGTTAAAACTGGGTTTGTGTAATCTTTTAATGTTGTTTTTCAAACATTTTGGTTTTGATATAAACTCATTTTTAGTTCCTGGAGAAAACATTGTTGATTACAATCGTTTGCTTCGTTACGACATTTATTTCTCAGAGATTTCTGTATTTGTTTCGTGAATGTGCTCACAGCAACAAACAGGCTATCTGCACTAACAATCCCTAATTTTGAACCGACAGACAACACGAAAGTCAACAGCTTACTACGTCAGCTCTTGGGTTACTCTAATCGAAAAGTATTATTTGACCGTCACTCTTATAACGCACCGTCCCTTGGTGGGTCAAGGTAAGATTACGGACCTACAATGCTAAAATCCAGTGCACGATTCCCTGCTGTGGGCGAGGCTTATTTGGCCTGTTGTATATCTTTGCCCTAAAACAATTTATAATTCACCTTCAGGCCCAATACAAGGTATTTTTGTAGTAAAGGGAAGCGAACCACCCGAATTAGATTCACTGTCTGGCACGCCAGTTTCTAGTTATAAAGTAAAAATATATTTCACACCAAAGCTAGTATAGGGCCAAGTGGTTCGTATCATGTTTTTAAAGAATGTAATAGCACTTTTGCATGATAAATACTAAATTGGTACCTTTCCTGTAAAGCTATGAAAATATATATGAACCTAAATGATAGATAAAATTAATAAACAGATCCTAACCCTGATCTGTGTGCGAAATATGGCAAATTGTCTGTTGTTATTAAAAAAACAACTCATATACCATAAACATACGTTTTGAATTAACAAATGTATATTTGAAAATGCTGGCTTTATGGTATGCAATACAGTAGTTTTGTTTCTAACAGCTTATTTTCTAACGTCTTGTTATGTGTATCGTAGCTCTAGCCCAAAGTGTTGAAATGACACGAAACAAAGCTGAACAATTTCTCTTTCCAATATTATTTTATTTGCCTTAATTAATGTAATGCGTTTTTTTTTAAAGGCTACGTATTGTAAACTTGAGTTTTTGTTTTTAATTGTCACAAAATTCTTGTTTGTACAACTTTCAATGAGCCTTTTTTTCCTTGAGCTCAAGAGTTGGCGGTGGGTGATATTGACTAGTTGCCTCCCCCTAGTTTATTACTATTATTCGTTATTTATTATAATTCGTTAAAAAGTTGTTTGTTACCGATAGACCATCTAATTTATTTTTGTCTTGGAAAGCTTTCTAATAAAGCAATAATTTTGAAGTTGTGAAGCCAAAATGATAACTTATCATGAGAGGTAACAGTAACAGAGAAAAAAAAGCTTCATCAAGGAAACGTCTAGAACAATGCAATTTAAACATGTGCTTTCTATTTTTACAAAACGTTAAAAATTAGAAACATAGGATTGTGCAGAATGTTTATAACTACAAACATTATATAATGGTGATTTTCAAAGCTATAATTATAAATGATGATAACATTGAATCATATTGTAACTGCATCGCATTATTTGTCAATATGTAATACTTTTTCTTATGAATTTTTATTTTCATCTGTTGTCAAGTTGACAATGTACTTGTACAAAAAATGATTTGTTATTCTATCGACACAAGCAATTCATTACTTTGTTTATATATTTAATTTAATAAGTTGGTTATCTCTATAAGGCTATCATAACTGTAAAGCATTTTATTATCCCGTTATTTAGTCTTAATGTACGAGTTTAAATATTTCAGTTGAATTAAGTCTTTTTATATCAAATGTTAAAATAGATATCGCTAATATACAAACTTTATATATTATTATTTTTTATTAGAATGTACTATACGGTTTTGAATGATCTGAGATATAATTTTACCTTATGAAAAATAGTCATGTTAGCCACAACTTTGGAAAAAAGTTTAATACAAAATATACGAGAAACTATATTTTTCACAGACTGAAAAATAAAAACAAACCATATTACATAAGTACCTAACAAAAATTAATGCATTACCTATTGCTTTGTATAGTGGATAGTTAATTTAAGGTTTATGACTTTAAGGTGTGGAAAATGAAAGAATGATATTTTATGTTTACAAATTATTTCTGAAGAGACTTCTGCTGTAATATACACACACACACACACACACACACATATATATATATATATATTTAAAG